TGTGGCATTGCCAGTCACTACCAGGTTGAGTGCCCCAACCCGCCGATGTGCTACCTCTGCAAGGACTCGGGCCACCCCGCGGCCCTCTGCAAGGACTCGGGCCAATGTCGGAGGAGCTCATGATGTACGGCCACGGCATTGAGGGTCTCGGCTTCTTCCACATCAAGGTCAAGGACGTCCCTCCCCCATCTTCGTCACTCCTTGCGGTCGTGACCATTGTTGGGGCGGGGGTCGCCTCTCCAGAGATGATTGACGCCGAGTTCAACCACCTCTGTCACCGTGTCTGGGACTGGCAGGTGACTCCGACCTCGGACAGCTCCTTCACAGTGGTCTTCCCTGACGCCCTTAGCCTGGGCCTCTGCACCCGTAGTGACGACATCACCCTCGCCCTCAACAAGCTCGTCGTCAACATCTCTGAGCCCCTGATGGACACCAAGGCTGTGGCCGTGCTGGATACTGCTTGGATCCTCATCGCTGGCCTCCCCGACATGCTCGTTCTGAGAAGGTGATCCGCAATATGTCCAAGCTCCTGGGCAAGGTGGTGGTGGTGGACGAGCTCTCTCTCCGCAAGGAGGAGGGGGTCTGTGTCAAGGTCAAGTGCCTTGACTCCTCCACCCTCCGTGCCACCGTCCGGGTCTTCTTCAACGACCAGGGTTTCGACCTCAAGATCTACCCCGAGCCTCCCAACCACATCGGCCGCCCCCAACACTTCACTGAGGGCCACTTTGGCGAGGGAAGTGCGGACCACCGCGACGACTCCCACTACCGCCGTCCGCGCCCCTCCCGCCACGAGGACCCGGAGGACGACGATTAGCGCTCTGGCCGCAGCCGCTCCCCCTCGCGCGACCCTTCGGACCCTCCTCCGGGGCGTGGGCATTCGGGAGCGGGCCGGTCGCGGGGGTTGGCCTCCGTCGAGGCTACCCCCGCCGCGCTGCCCGTCCCCTCCCCCTCCTCTTCGGCCAACCTCAGTGACATCTCCAGTGTCAGTCTCCTCGTCCTCCCGGCATCTTCGCCGCGCTCGCCGTGCCTCTCCCCCGAGGCTGCCCCGCCTCCGCCCCCGACGGTGGCTTCTCCGCTGCTGTCGGACTCGCCGGCATTGGATCCCCTCCCCCTTGGGTCCCCCCCCAGCT